AATCATATTTACATTATGAAACTCGACTTAATATTACCACAACAAAAAGGCATCAAAACATACAAAATGCCACTGACTGCAGAGTCTGCTTTATTTTTAACAGTATTGCCATATAAGAGGTACATTAAATTTAATTAATTTAACAAAAAAAATTGAACAATATCTTATATTTCTTTTAATTATAGATTTGTGTTGTTCTATAACTTGTGAGTAATTTAATATGCAGAATTTATATTACAGATTCATAAGTAGTGGAATCATAAATTTACATAGAAACGTATAAGATTTAAATAATCACATGTTAGTTTGTGATAGATAATTATAATAATGTTTTAATAGAAGTGAGAAATATGTGTGGGATATGAATTGACTAGGTTCGATGGAAATCCAGAAATGATTGTTTTTTCCACAAATAAAATGTAATATAGATATTTTATTGGGATTTACGCGAATACAGAATTTTGAAGGAATGGGTATATATATATATATATGTGGCCTCGACGGCAGTCGTCACGATCTTTTACATGTGTTCGCTCGCACGGTCTTTTCCCGACTGCCGGGTCGCTCGCGATCGCGTCAACACGCCCGAGTTTTCACGGGCATCGCCAAGGTCCATCAAAAACCCTCGCAAAACAATATAACGGGTGGAGCGGACAGAAAGCCGTGCTCCATCCCACACTCGGCCATCCGACGACTTCTGACCTCAGATGTCTATTCCAAAACAGCGTCTTCAGAAGAATCGCTCCAAGGCTTCATGTGATCCGCCGCCGAGGATGTCATACGAGGACCTTCTCCTTCGCCAATCTTCTGCACTATGTATCTATCATTCCGAAGAACTCGTTTAATCCGATATGGACCAAAATATTTCGCAGCAAACTTCAGACCAGGTCCGCCTTGTGTCCGTTTAATGGCAACCAAATCATTTTCCTTATATATACTTGGTGCTTTTCTCTTTCTGTCATAGCTCCGTTTGTTTTCTTCCTGAATTTTAGCGATTGCTTCTTTTGCTTGTCGTCGCGTTTCGCTACGTTTCTCTAAAAATGCCGCAGCTTCTTCTTCTTCAAGAAGATCCTTAAGTATGAGATCTTCTTTCGTCTTTATTTGCGTGCCAAATAAAAGATAAAATGGCGATGCGCCTGTGCTTCTCGAAGGTACGCTATTTAGATATCGCTGAGTTCTCATTACATATTTATGCCATTGAGCAGGATTCGGTGCTGACAACTTTGTCAACATTGGAATCAAAATACGGTTAATCCGCTCAACTTGCCCGTTTTCTCGTGGGACTCCGGTAACGACAGTGATATGCTCAATATTTTCGTCTTTACAATAAGTTTCGAAGTCATTCGCAGTGAAAGCCGTTCCTCGATCAGAAATGATCCTTCTCGGATTTCCGAAAACAGCGCTCTGTTGCGTCAATCTGTCTAATACTTCGGCTGCGTTTGTGGATTTCGTGGGGCATAACCAGACAAATTTCGTAAAAGCATCGATTACTACGAATAAATGACGATACTTCTTTTGTGTAGACGGCAGGGGACCCAAATGATCCACGTGATACGTATCTAGCGGACTTTCACCTTTTGGGATAGGATGTAAGCAGCCTTCTTGTTTTCCAGATTTTCTCTCAGCCAGAATACAGCTAATACAATTTCGGACAATCTTTTCGATCTTACTACGCATTCCCTTGAACCAATAATTCATCTTTAGCAGCTTCTCCGTTTTGTCTGGACCGAAATGGCCACGCTCGTGAGCTTGTCGTATAATATTGTTTTGCATTAGCTTTGGAACTACAATTAGCGTATCTCCGTTCAACTTCTTGTGTAAAAGTCCATTTTTAATAACGTATCCCTCCGCTTGGTTACTTATTGCTTGGTCTCGGATGCCTACCAACTCCTCATCTTCTGCTTGATTTTTTTGCAGCCTTGCAATGATGCCCTCCTGACATTCCGTTATGAGCATTGCAGTTGGCAATGCATTTTGACTGAGCGCATCGACATGTCGCATACTCTTTCCGGGCCGATGTTCGACAACATATTGAAAATCCTGCAGGAACAAAGCCCATCGTGCAATCCGCGTGCAGACGTCCGTCTTCTTCATTGTTTGCGCGAACGCCTGACAATCTGTTACAATTTTAAACGGTATACCTATCAAATAAATTCTAAATTTTCGCAACGCCTTAATAATTGCTAAAACTTCCAACTCGTAGCTATGAAATTTTGCTTCGCTATCGGTGGTCTTGCCACTTGCGTAGTACACCGGATGAAAAAGACGATCTTCGCTATCTCTTTGTAGTAAAATAGCCCCGTAACCTTGTGACGAGGCGTCCGTGTGCAGCTCCGTTTCCGCGTTTGGGCAATAGATTCGTAAAATAGGTCTTCTCGCCAAAGCCTCCTTCAACTGATCGAACGCGCGCGTTTCTTTGTCACCAAAAAAAAATTTAACTCCCTCCTTTAACAATTCGGTCAGAGGATGTGCAACAGATGCATATTTCGGGATAAACCTTCGGAAATAGCCAGTCAACCCTAAAAAGCTTTGCACCGCTCTTCTATCGTTCGGTATGGGAAAATATTTTACCGCGTTAGTTTTTTCGTCGGAAGGTGTAACGTCTCCGTCCTCTATAATAAATCCTAGATAATTTACTCTAGTTTTCAAAAACTGGCATTTCTTCCAATTTATCCTCAACCCGTACGAACTTGCTACTTGTAATACTTCTTTTAAGTGTAATAACTCTTCTTGACAATTTTTTGATGTAATAATTAAGTCATCCATATATATTGACACGACATTTTTTTGCCACTAAGTCAGCAAATACTGCGTTGACGTATTTTTGAAAATATGCTGGCGACGTACTTAAACCGAAAGGCATGCGCAAGAACTCGTAGTGACCGTTTGGAACTATAAATGCCGTATATTTGCGACTATCATCCGCCACGCGAACATGAAAAAAACCATTCTCGAGATCTATTGTACTAAAAATTTTAGCTCCTCGCAAACGATCAATCTGGTCCTCTATAATTGGTAAAGGATACCGCGTTTTTATTATTTTCTCATTAAGTTTCCGATAATCAACGCATACTCTCGTAGCACCATTTTTTTTCTTAACCAGCACGACCGGGCTGGCATAATCAGAATACGATTGTTAAACAATGCCCTCGTCTAACCATCTGTGTATTTGTTCGTCAAGCGTCCTTTGTTCGGGTACAGCCAGCCTACGAGCACGCTGGTATACAGGAGTCTCGTCCTTCAGCACAATGTTTAGCTCGATACCTACGTCTCGAATTTTCTCGGGTTTATAACTCGATATTATTTCTCTTATTTCGTCTTTACACTCTTGATCCATAATGTGCTCTATGTTTACATCGTTTACTTTATCGCCAAGGTCGATCCTGTTTACAGCAGGCAATTCGGAAAATGCTTTAGCAGTTTTTGAAATTTTAACGACACCTTCTTTTACTTGCAACTCGACATTATTTAAAAAATCTGTTCCGATAAGAATCGCGTGCTGCAACAGCGCATCAGGGACCACGTGAAACGTTACGCCGAAAAAACATCCGTCCACACAAACGCTAACATATACTTCACCTAATGTTACATTTTCATCTGAGCCAACACCGCGAAATTTCATTTGCCTCTTAATTAACGCCGGCGCTCCGATTTTAACATAAGAATCCGCGCGCATCAGACTGATGTCACTCCCGGTGTCGATTAAAGTCGATAACTCGACCGAGTTTATCGCAACGGTTTTACAACAACTTTTCGTCTCACCCTGCGTCGCGTTACAGTTTTTTTCTTTATTCGTCTGTTTGTTCTCTACCGTAGGACATTTAGCAGCAACATGTCCGTGTGTGCCGCATCGAAAACATTTAACGCCTTTTCTCTTTACCGAGCATTCCGCGATCAAATGATTTTTATCGCCGCAAATGTAGCACCGTTTATCAATTTGCTTACTATCGTTTTCCGCGCGTATAAATTTCCTTTTCCGATCCTCCGTCTTGGAATGCCTAGATCTAATTTTCATTATTTTGTATATATCTAATTTATGTTTCAAGTCCGAAATACTTCTCGCGCCGTACAAAACAATTTTATTTACCTCATCGTCCGCTATACCATCTATTATATATTGTATTACCGCGCTGATTTCTAATTTCGCCCTGGAGGCGATTTCCAACATCTGATAGCAGTATTCGTGATACGTCTCATCAGTTTTCTTCTTCCTCCTTTGTAATTGAAAATGTACATCGTGGCTATTGGTCTTCTGGGAAAACTCGCGCTTCAAGACAGTTCTGATGTTCTTCCACGTCTTCCCTCGTGCTTCATACTTTACGAATAGCTTTGCTGATCCACGCAAAAGTCTCCTTACATATATCGTCTTTTGCACGTCGTTCCACTGACACAGGCTTGCTGTTTCGTCAAAATCTCTGATCCACTGCTTAACGTTCTTGCCATCATCACCGCTAAATGTATCGATAGCATCTTCAACGTCTTTAAATGTCAATAAACACCTCTCACGTTTCCGTAACGGCTCCTGCGACGGCCCTTGCCTCCGGCCATCCTCCGACGCATCACTGAGCTCTGACTCATCACCAGACTCGCAATCCACCTGACCGCGCACACCACCGTCGTCGCTACTCTCGTCTCCGTCCTCCTGACCCTCGAGAAACACCGCCGCCCGAAACCGCTCCACCAGATCAGCTTTGTTGCCTGTCGTCCTCAATTTTCGTCGTCTTAACTCGTCTCTAAGCTGGACAATCGTCATAGCGTCCGCCTGCACAACGTCTCTCGCTCCATCGTTCCGTGCGGTTCCGCCGTCGCTCATCATTACACCACCTTCAAACCCGCCTCCTTCCATCCGATGCGTAATCCCGGACGAGCCCCCAAAAATTTACTTGTAGGATATGAATTGACTAGGTTCGATGGAAATCCAGAAATGGTTGTTTTTTCCACAAATAAAATGTAATATAGATATTTTATTGGGATTTACGCGAATACAGAATTTTGAAGGAATGGGTATATATATATATATGTGGCCTCGACGGCAGTCGTCACGATCTTTTACATGTGTTCGCTCGCACGGTCTTTTCCCGACTGCCGGGTCGCTCGCGATCGCGTCAACACGCCCGAGTTTTCACGGGCATTGCCAAGGTCCATCAAAAACCCTCGCAAAACAATATAACGGGTGGAGCGGACAGAAAGCCGTGCTCCATTCCACATATGTATATTTTTCAGATATTTGTATTGAACAGAAGATTCTTTAATAGTGCAAACGGATTTCAACGGAAGAAACAAATTACATATGGAAGACAATAAATGCTTCTGCCTGAAGACATTTTTAGGATTGTTACAAATTAAGTACGCTCTCATGACGATTGATACAACGAATATTGACGAGCCACTAATATATTGGATAATAAACAATGAATATTTAATCGTAACGGATATTAATGGTTGTAATTGCAATATGATTTTAAGATCTTCAAATCAATCAATTTATCGTTTTGATGATTTATCAATTGATAGTATAAATATTTACTTGTTTGGTTATCCAGAAATATATATAATATTTTAAGAAAGGGAAATGCTCTTCTCGAAAGCCAAAAAAACATATTTGATAGTCTTCAAAATATCCATTTTGGAGAGTTCTATTATTCTAGTATCATAACTCTTGCTCAAAGTTTACAACAACCATATCCCCCGAAGATATGTCTAATACCTACAAAGGATTATCGTGTTGAAGAAGTGTCAATAACTGCAGACAGCATTAACGTGAACCTTCCGGAGCCGATTCTCAATGATGAATGTAAAAAGTACAACTTAGTTTTTATATATAACATTTCTGTGAGTTATTTCAAATGTTTAGACAATGATCTTTACAAATTCAAAGAATTTTATGTCCAAACGTACGAACGGCAGCACAAAATTCCGAATTTGACGCAGTTTACAGAATACACGTTAAAGCTGGCACTAAGCAATTTTTACATCCACAAGAAATCGATGGATTTGCAATTCGGCCCAGATGTAAAACTGATAACTACGAGCAAGCTCTATGCACCGGATGATGTAGTAGTTCAAGTTGTAATGCCAAATCTGGCGGTAATTGATTGGATGCCACCGAAAAAATTAGATTGCGTGGCAGTGAATTATGAGGTGAAATGGATGCAATATTCAAATAGCACTCAAGAAAATCAAAATTCGTTTCGCTTCATAAAAGTCAATAAACTAGAACATACGACAAATGGCAAAATTTTTGCGGTAATTCGGTCACTGATACCAAAGCAAAAATACGAGATATACGTGAGTGCGTATCCAATTATTCGCACAGGTGTCGTCACTGACAGTGTAATAAAAACATTCTACATGGCCGAACCGAATAATTTAAGTTTGAATGGGATCGATACAAACAGTATGAATATCTCGTGGATTCCAAGCGTTAATCTGACGATTCCTACTGAATTCCTTATACTGGAATACAAAAATGCTGCGTCACGGAAAAGGATATGGGAAATTGCAAATAATATTGAGAAGAATAATGATAAAATAACATATCACATAGAAAATTTATTACTGCAAACTAAGTACAAATTTCGTTTGAACTTAAAATATACTGAGTATAAAGAAGATTTCATATGGCCGTCTGATGGAGAAGAATTTATTTTTGAAACACTCGGTAAGCAAATGAAGACGTTATGATAACATATGTTTACTTTAAGAATATCTTATCAGTATTTTCGCATTAGAAATTGAATAATGAAGTTTTAAGTAAAATATCTTAATAATAATTGATAAATATGTGCATGAAGAATCGCCAGATAAAATTAAAAATAAAATAATGAACACCCGATTAAACTGGCATAATTTTATTAATTCATTTTACAACGTTTTAACCATGATTTAGGTCCTCAGCAAGTGATTTGCGAAATGTAGTTTTAATTTTAAGAAGTAAGCGAGTGAGTACATTGTGTAAAGCTGACGTCACGTCCTTGACATTACTTGGCTTACTTCCTAAAATTTTAACTACATTTCGCAAATCACTTGCTAAGGATTTAAATCATGGTCGAAACGTTGAGAAGTAAATTAATAAAATTTTGCCAGTTTGGTCGAGAGAAGAGTGTTCATCATTTTATTTTTGAGAAATATGTGTCGACAAACTGGCAATTTATTAATCTTATTACGTTTCATCCCTTCCTTGGTGTCCATTTCAAGTAATGTAGTTCTTAGATATTATGATAAAATATCTTAAATAAAAAGTCCAATAAAACGAAGAATTGTACTCTTGTGTAACAAAGGTGATGCAAGAAAGATTCCTAGCGCAACTGGGACAGCTATGCAATATTATCTGCCATTAATATTATGTCTTATTGTAATCATTGTAATATACAATGTTTATTACTTTTATTGTAGTAAGTATATTTCATATAAATTTTGGATTATTATTATAAATTGTTTAGATTTGGTGTATAGATATACGAACATATAAAAGGCGCTTTTGAAAAAATCGGCATTATTTCTTAAAAGTTACTTAAGACATTGCAATGCGTAGCATTTTGTCGTGTATTAAAAGTTTTTTTATATGACAGCATACAGGCAACACAAAGAAAGTAACGAAATAGTTTTGCCTCCAATAATGATGAATACGGAATTACTACCTTTAAATAAAATACCTTTCGGGTGCACTCAACTAAATTTGCTGAACCCTTCTAGATTGCAATATAATTCAGACGAATTTGCGTTGACCATAATCGAAAAAAATCAAATTAGCCAAACAAAGTTCTAAGTAGCGGCGCATTTGGTAATGCAAGTATTAGTTTGTTATTACTTAAATATATTTTCAAGATATTTTTTTATTTTTTAATCGCTTAAATTTATGGTAAAACATACTTTTAAATAAAAGTAATTGTTAAAATTAAAATTTCTCTCAAAAAGTCAAACATGATAAACTTTTTTATCTTACATTTTATCGATTTGTCTGTTATTAATTATGTAACATTTCACAGGTATATTAAGGAATCATCAATGATTTTGAAGGATTGGACACAACATCAGTTGCGATAAAAATGCTAAAAAACAAGCTTCTTCGAAAGAGAAAAAGGAATTCTTGAAAGAGGCTAAACTTATGAGCCACTTTCAACATGAAAATGTGCTAAGAATATTAGGCATTTGTTTGAACACGGATTCACTGTTACTTATATTGGAATTAATAGAACCTGGTGACTTATTGAATTATTTAAGAATTAATGGAACATTGCAATCTTTAGATTCGTGCGCGTTGCGTCTGAAAGGCTTGCTCGCCATGTGCGAAGATGTTGCTCGAGGCTGTTGTTACTTAGAAAGGCAACAATTTGTGCATAGAGATCTCGCGTGTCGAAATTGCTTAATATCCGTAAGAAATCATGGAAACCGTATTGTAAAAATTGGACTAGCTAGAGATATTTACAAGGATCACTATTACCGTATGGTAAATACAATTATTTGAGAGAGCTAAAACTTTTTTTTTTATTTTTCATAATAATACAATTTTAAGCTGGTTATAACGGTAAAAATAAATTATTTTATTTGTATACCTATGAAGAAGGGAAAATGAGAGTTGACTGTATGCGCATAACGCTTGTTTCTAAACTTCTGGAGGAAGTTCGATAAAAATAACTTAATTGTGCTATATAATTGTTTTAGAAAGGAGACCGCCGAGTTCCTGTTCGCTGGATGGCACC